CTTTAAATTCATTTCCTTCATTGGTCTCATGTAATAAAGAAGTTGGTGTTGATGAACAGTGTTTGATGTGAAAAACGGGAAGTTGATTTTTTCTCCAAAGGCCCAAAAGTGCTCCCGCATTATTTTCTGCCTCAGGATTGTTTCTCTGTCCACCCCAATATTCTAAATTGTCAAACCCTTTTTGAATGTCAATTAAAATTAGTGCTGGTCTATCAAGTTTCGAAATTGCCATACCATTTTTGTGTTTTACCCTATTTTTATAATAACCTGATTAACATATGAACAATTATTTATTTTAAATATAACACTTCATCATTAAGTTCAAGCCCTGTTGGGAATTTGCGGAAAAATTATGTTAGCTACATTTACAATAACTGAATCAGTATTCAACGTTGAATTTAACGGACATTAAATCTGAATTCATTTTTAATATCGGCAATAGTTTGTATAGAATTAAAATACCATCATCGGAATACTATATAAATACATACAAAATTCCTGAAGCCATTTTGAATTTGGGAAAACATAAATGATAGCTGAATTTTTGATTTCTCAATTATTGGTGATTTGCCGGCTGTTTTTTTGATAGAATTAATCCCAAATTTGTGGTCTATCAAGTCCAAGTGTTCGGAAATATGAAAGTAATTGTCCGGTATGCACTGCTTCGTGGTAGGCAATTCTTTGCAAATAATCTCCAAGTATTCTTCGTTGCCCTTTTTCAGAACGAAGAATTTCTATTGAAGTTAAATCGTCCGCACTAAAAGTTTGAATTGTTGAAAGAAATCGCTCTCTGTATGGTTCTGCAAATGCAAGTTCGTCTTGTAAGTTTGTATAAGGTCTATCTAGCCAAGGTGAAATATAGTCGCCAAGATTACCTCTGTTATCCACGATTTTATGGAATAAATGTTCACTTTCTAAAACGTGCCTTATCATTTCAAGACAATTCATTGCGTGGATGTCTGGTCGCCAAAAGTAATTTTCAGGTGTCAATCCTGTCCAGAGCTTAATACTTCTCCTTCTGATTTCTTCAAAGTTCAATATTATTATTTCAGTATGTGTCATTAGAGTTGATGTTTTATTATTTCACTTTTAAGCAGTACTTTTTTTAATGACCATTAACAGTAGCTTGCCAAAGCTGTTCAAATTCATCTTCTGTAATTGTAAATTCAGCAAATTCATCAATGTCGATAGATACTTCAGAAAGTCCGCCAAACTTATCCTCCATATAATCTGTATCGTATTTTAAGATTTTTCCATTCTCAAATAACTGCATTTGTCGTACCACAAAAAAACGTTGTCTGTCATAAAATAGTAGGTCGATGAGCCCCAATCGTCTGTTAGTTCATCTCCGGATCTTTCATCCCAATGTCGTTTAAAGTAGTGTGTTGACATAAATTTACAGTGTCTAATGTTGTAGAAAAATCAGAAGCACCAGCCCAATTTTGCAATAAAAAATTTGAATACCATATCTTTGAAGTTTGATTTCTGGGCCGCTAATCAAGTTGCTGTAAGCTGTCGTAATGGCCTATCAAAATGCAAACTGTTTCCATTTTCTGTCACCAGATGGTCTTTTTTCAAAGTTATTAATTACTATTTCAAGCATTTCAAATTTCCCTCTACTAATTTTCCGTACTCGTTTCTCCTTATCTGGTTTCATCGCATATATATCAAACCCACAACTGCCGACTTGCTCCCACTGTCCATTTTTTAATGAATATGCAATTAACGATTTATAGCGGCTGACGCAAGTGGAATAGAAAACACCTATTTCAGAAACGCCATCTTCATCAATATCACCAATAGAAAATAAATTGTCGGGGTGGCAGCAATAAGAGTCCGTGAAAAGCCGGGGCAATGAAGTGTCTAAAAAGG